GAACAGAATCGGCTCCAACAAAATAAATAAAAATTATAAAAGCGAAATAGGACGAATACAATCGAAACAGGATGAATAGAAATGAACGAAAACGCTAAAACGCTTCTATCGCGCTAAAAATGCATTAACCCCGAGATGTGGGGTACGGTAGCAGAAGCGCGTGTGTAATTGCAGCTTTGACTGGAGCAAACGGCTATTAGCCATGGCGCGAGAATTTTCAGCAAAGTAGGGTGTCTTTGAAGGACCATAACTTCCTCAAAAGCGGGACCTGTGGGGAAGCAGGGAGAGGTATTGGGCGTTACAATTAGATAGGTTTTTTATCTTCCTGAAAGTACTAAAATGTTTCCCATGGAATGGTGCCGAAAATCACATGGAGAAAGCTTGCCAGGGCATTTCCGTTAGGGAGTGAAGGGTTGAAGTTCAAGTTGAACAGGTTTGAATCAATATATTTTTTTTGTAACTCAACATTTCACAAATCTGAGAACGGATCCGAGCTTCTCAAGATTTTCTCTTTCTAAAAACCTATTGAACTGTTCCTGAAGCTCTCGGGATTCATGAGATCTGCCGCGGGGATGGATTTCTTAGGGAGCACTCCAGCCGCGCGGAAAACCCGTTTCCTGTGCACCGTTTCAAGTGAGCGTGTTCGAATAGCCAGGAACGCATGTAGAACGTATCCTGTGGCTGGAGGCAGGGAGCAGCGCACTACGTGCGTTTCGTTTTAGCCGCGATCACGCCTGTACTTTGTATGGGCGCCGCTCCCACTCGGACGGCCCCGCGCCAGAAGCTGCATGGCGGATGGTGGCAACTTGTGCGTACTGTCTGGATTTTTATCACGCGAGCAATGATGTCTATGAGTATTCAGGGAGGTCATGACGAACCTGTGCCAGCTTGTTTACCCAGACTTGTTTTCCCTCGTCGGATGATGGCGACGTAGTCCTGTCGACGGGGCAGCCGATCTGTGCTCCTCAATTGCCATTGCGACTGGCTCCGATAAATGGAGCACCAACCTGCTTGGAAAAAGCGGTCGATTACACACGGATATATGGTAGTCGTGTCGCTTGTCGAAAAAAATAGGCTGGATCAGCCCCAAGCGCAATCGCGGACACGCCCCATCATCTGCAGCAAATCAGAGTATGCGTTTACTGTTTAGTCATCAACGGACTTACGAGATGATGCCGACTCATTTAAATTCCAGTTATTTCGCATTTTTATGGCTGAAAAATTTGTCCTTTTTTCAAATATTCGAGTTCTCTACAAAGTAAGCTTCGCTGTACCGGACTCAGCACATTGACACCTTTGCGCTGCTCGATACTGGCTACGCACTCATTACGACCCCCCCCCTCTCCTGGCGGCCAAATACGACCCCCCCCCCCATGGGGATTCCCCAACCAATCTGCTGTGCCCCTGCCCCCAAATAGTCTGCAGCGAATATAATAGTGCACATGAAACGGGAAAAAAATTGTGGAGAACAGAAAATTTCCCCCAGAGCCAATACGGCAGTCCTCAATCTTTACAGCGTCATATACGACCGCTTCCTTTGTAGGATCTCCAACGGTACGAGATACGCGTACGGATATTTTTGTGCGAATTTTGGATAACCTGAACACACTTTTCAAGTTTTGGCTGCAGGATTCAAGTCTTGGCAGCAGGAAAGCGTTTCACCATCAGACCAAGTCGTTACGGTGTGGCGAATACTAGGGAGGATGGGATCGCATTCCCGGTCTGAGAATTCCCCTTTTTTTGACACATTGATTTTTCTTGTTTCATTGAGCGCTATCAACGTCGTTGGGAGGATTTCCTAGGGCAGAGAGGATGGCACATAAGCCTGTCACCGAAAAATTCTGGCTTGCGTTTGGGATAACTTTTTCCAGTATTGTTATTTCTATGGTTTTCGTCGGTTTCACTATGTGCTATACTTCCCGGCCCTCCTCCCTCGCTCCTCGAAGGAAACAGGAGCTGTTCTGGGGAAAACCTCGAAAATTTTCATTGCCCTTGTTCACCATAGTTTCGAGATCTTTGGACTTTCGAACTGTGTGCTGCAGCAGAAACAGCGCTCCAATCATGCCAAGAACATGAAGTTCGCTGGCCAACTTGTACTGATATCGTTGCTACTGCCAAAGCAATTCGAGATTTACATACAAGTTACTCATCATTTTTTTTCGATCATTTTAGCGAAATGAAAAATGCATCAAGTGAGATGGAAGAAGATTCAAAGTAAGAGAATGAACCGTATCGCTTACGATTCAGTCGAGTCACTGTAGCCTTCATTAACACCTCAGGCTCATCAGTGATTACGGGTTTATGAAATAAAGCAATATATAATCCTGTGGTGCGTTACCGCCTTGTAAATGAGAATATAAATACGGTAATGCCATTGGAAGGGAAACGCAAAACAAAGAAGCGTAGCCAAAGCGCCAGGTCAACAAATGAAGAAGGAAAGGAAGCTTGCTGCTGACGAAAAATTCCTGCGTCTCGGAGGATCTTTTTCATAGTTTTTAGGTAATGGAGTCCAGAACGGGACGAAGCGAATAAAATACATGTTGATAATAATCTTGTTGATACAGAAAATTTTGAGAAAATGGGTGCGGATCTCGAATAATCAAAAAACTGACTTGATAACCGAGAAGGCTCACCGTCTTCTCAAGAAGTTCAAAAGGTTATGAATGAAGTTCACAAAGTTACAAAAGAATTAATTTGCAATTATTACACGATACAACCGCTATGAACAACATTTCGTAGCGGAAAGCAAGGAAGATTTTGATTTTATGGAGAAACTTGGAGACATACCTTCATCAACTATCCAAACGGACTCTTGGACAGGTCCATCAACGCCTTCGACAATCTCGATGGCCTCGTTTTGAAGGTGTTCATCTTTGTGTATTAAGTCCACCTCAAGACCACCATACGTCCAAGATCCTGCAATTGGTAGGTCATATGTGTTGGAAATTCAAGCTGATCTCATGCTCATGCTCATTCTCTCGTGCTCACGCTTGACACTTGGTCATTATCTCCCCTTCTACAAAACACCTTGACGCTTATAAAAACTGCAATCGGGTTCATAAGCACTGACAAGTCCTGCAAGCCCTCTAAATAAGGGTTAATGTCACGGCAATGGCGTGGTAATAGGTTCGAATGTGAAGTCGAGCGCAAGGGATCGAAGTGAAAGTCCGCGAAGGTCAGTAGGCGGAGACAATCAACCACTGCATCTTCCTCAATAGTGCACCTGTTCTCAATCGCCTCAGACGGAGGGACGTAACAATGAGTAAAGCGCAATGACAGGCAGGGCACAGCATTCGATGGGGATTTTGGTCGAGCTTTTACCCGGTTCAGGTTACACAATCTACAGGCGCGCAGCAGCGCATACTTCAAGAGATGCCTAAAACTTTCGTGCCTCCTTTGCAGATTGTCAGACTTCAGATACGGCGCTTCACACGAGTCCTCTACTATAAAGAGAGTATGTTTATAGATGGGAAAATATCCATACTACGCGATAAAGGCCAGTTTGACAGTATCAAATCCAAGAGACTAATCAATTCTCCTACAGATAGAATCTCCTGCGACCCTGACTGCAGGGGCTGTAAGTAACGTTCTCCACCCAGATAGTGTCCCTTATAAGGGCCCTATCAAGCCACAACTTTACGTCCCAACGCCCGCCACGCCCGCCCGCCCACAAATGGACGACCGTTCCTGACGCTCGTATTCATTCATTTGCTAAGCAAATTATGAAGCGAAGGATTGGTAAAGCGGCTTGTTGCTGCAATCTACACATAGATTTACATTACATGCAGCCATTATTTTCGGTTAATCGGTAATCGTAAATCCTAACGGGAACTCGATCGAAATCGATTACAAGATCACTGAAAGAGGTTCCTTTGTTCGATTTAACCGCTTCAACTCCGTTCTTCTGTTCTTATCCAATTTCTCCACCAATCAGCGCCCTACAGCATTTAGCTTAAAAGTAGAAACCGTCCGTATCCGACTGGCCTCATCAAAATAAATATCTCTCAACTCAGACAGATTTTCTACCAAAAGTTATGATGTCATCTGTGTCCCGGAGCTTTCGAAAACCGTGGAACCTCATTCTTATTTAAACCAATCGTTCCATCCACCCACGCACACGTTGATTCCCACTGACTCCCGAAAATATGGAGGAATTTCTTGTGAATCGCGAGTTTTGCGTAATCACTATGGTCTTGCAATATTTCGCGCTCTTTTTATTCGCATAGGTCCTAAAAACCACCCACACTTTCACGCACTATATGTAGGAAGGATAATTGAGAAGATAGCGCTGACTGGCTGTGAGGCATCATCTTAACAAAGCTCGTGCCAGTGCTTGCTTCAAATTACGCTCGTACTTCCTCCACTGGTGAGAACAGCTAGGACATTGTCATGACTAGCTCTCTAACACCCATGAGACCACAAATTAGGCTTAGCTAGTCATGTTGACAATTTTTTAACAAGGCCGCGTTACTTCTGTCTGTAATAGGGTCATCGGAGCAGACATAGGTCACTCAGCCACGGCCGGAAAATTCCCCGCAGGAAAGTACCTCTCTGAGCTGACAGCTCCATCATTAAGTTTCGGTGGCGAATCTAACGTCAATAGCCATTTCGTCGCCACACCTTGGACGTAAGCGCCTACCATGGCACGCCCTGCCGTTGGAGAGAAGTTCCGCGGAATACGACTCCCAAAGTAGCACCAATAGCGCCACGGACGCACATCAACACACTCGAAAACCCTAAGAAAACAACCATTTTGACTTCTCTCACAAAAACATTTTTTTCAGGGGTTCAAATATTAACCCCTTCTCTTTACTCTAAGCGATCACAGAACCTCTCCTCCATCAGTCAACCACAATCCCTGCAAAGGAATTTTCAGCGTACAAACGTCCCCCAACTGCCTAAATTCCGGATGCTACCAGTAAGATGCCCAAATGTACGAACTGGTAATTAAATGCTCGTTCTTCCAGCGGAAAAAATATAAGAATAGAAAGAAGAAGAAAAATGAGAAAACATTCTACTTCACTCACAAAATCATATCACATTGTCGATCAATGAAAAACTCGACGTCTATTACACCTAGCTTGACACATGCTAAAAATCAAAATGATTAAAATATAAACAAAAAAAACTTCAGGTGAAGCAAACAAACCTCTTATAAATGGCCGGTGGAGCCCATTCGACGGTGCCATTATATGACAATTTGGCCTTTGTCATGATGGTGACTTGGTAGTTTCCGTCGGCACTGAAATAGTGAATGTGTCAGAAGTAGTGGCCAAAACGGGGCGCGCTAACTAGAAAGGCACGATTGTAGGCTTGACTCCGCCCACACGACAAACGCGGACCATGTTTTGAGGGGAGTAAATCACGTAAAGCTCGACATATTTGAATTATGTAAAGGAAAAAACAGAAAGAGTGTAAAAGAAAAATAGGTAGCCGTACTTGTTATAAAGGACGATGTCTGGTAACCAGATCGTGTCCGAAGGCACGTAGAGAACATCAACACCACCATAGTCGTCGGGATTCCAACGAAGCTTGTAATCCGTCCAACTCTATAATTACTCATTATAATCATTCATTATTCTATTATTATTTCACTATGATTAATTGCATTATTATTTATTATTTACTAATTATTATTTGCTCGTGATTTCGAGGAGAGTAAAATATGATATGGGATATCTTTTCGACTGAGTTCTTTTCGATAAGAATACCACTTAATTTCTTTTGGTTTAACAGTTTTTACAGGTCTGTCTCCACCAAACCGAACAGCGCCCTGCTCTGCCTTCGAGAGAATATAGAAATCCCGTGTCCCATCCTTTCCAGAAATAAAGTAGTCGATTTCTGCTCCAGTCCCACGAGCGCGGAAAGATTTATAGAGCTTTTTGATAGCAGCAGATGTATCAATTAGTGGAGCGTGATATATTGGCGGAATTCCGGAAGCTGTAATGAAAAAAATTTATTGGGACCCTTTCAATCTGGAAAAAAGCACTGGGTAGAGGTAGACTGCTATAATGGGCTCAAACACTCCTGGAATGCTTTTTTATGGAAATTTAACTTTGAGAGAAAGTAAAACTTGAAATCTCACACCGCAATTTATACAATTAAAAAGGATTTTGTCATAACCATTCGAAAGGAACTAATTCGGTCCCAGGTGTCTCCTTAGGTTGACCTTTCTCTTAAGAACGAGTGCAAGCGACTGCTTTGAAATTTTACATTTTCTCCGTAGCACTCTAGCAGGACGACATTTTATCACTCTCTCTCTCTTCTGTGAGCACAACGAGGAGGCGGGTAACCGAGTGGTAGTTATTTCTAATGTGAAACTCTTATGATTTTGATGACTCTCGCGACGTTATTTACCCTCTCTCACGCGCAAAAAAGTAACACTTTGCGGATAATTTGATTAAACACCGTAGTATTGCGCAAGTGGGGGTGGTACCGCAACCAACCAATCGGGATCGGCAGGCGGAGTCGTATCTTCAGTAACTGGTCTCTAAAGTCTAAATTTATATTGAAACGCCCTGAAGGGAAGCGTTCCGGTTACTAAACTCGACGGCCAAAGACATAATATTTTGTTTTCCTTATCTCTTCAAAATACATTACATATTTATTTGCTTACTTATTTCTCTGACCTGAGTTTCAGTGCAAGGCTCCGTGTATCACCGAGAAGCGAAGAATCCTTCAGTGTATACTCTCATAAGACATGGGGAAACGTATTCGAGCCGAATACCTGGTACCTCTTTTTTTCGACCACGCTTTTTTTGCTTGAAAATTTTTTGCCCCGGAAGTGCCAGTGACATTCGAAAAAAACCCCTCCTATAAAAAAAAAGTTTGTTGCTTGACAAAAGGTGCTGCCAGTATTCGAGTTAAGCCGTCTGACAATTGGCAAAAGTCACTTGTCAGCCCACATCCAGTCGATTGGTGCCCCACCTGACCCTCGCGCTAAGCGTTTTCATTATCAGGCGTCGGGCTGTGTGTTTTGCGGAATGCGGCAAGTGAGGGGATTGAATGCCGGCCAAGGACCACTCATCACGTCTAGATTGTGGTGAAGCGCTTGTCTCGATTGAAAAAGCTGGCGGATTTTTCTGGGCTTCCCGGTTTGGAAAGCGCCTAAATGCGTGCGACAGCACTACGACAGAAAAAAATATCGAAACAGGGTTAGCAATTTTCAACAGTTCTGGCGTAGCTGACACCTTGTGAACCCTCTTTCTGCGGGATTTTCGCATCATTTCGGCGTATTTACGTCGATAATCAGTAATTTCATTTTTTTCTACACTTTTGTGTGCCGCCTCTCAAGGGCGTTTTGATAATTTCAATTTTGAACATGAAATTCATGCCAAATAGACCTTATGAAACAACTCAGAGAGGAGAATGTATGACACACGGTGTGTGTCACGCTGTCCTGAACGTCTTAAATGAAGAAAAGGCTCATATCTGCAGAAACACGATAAGGAGCAACTAAGACATATATCACGTTGTGCGAAATCCTTGCAAAATACGACCCCCCCCTCTTCGGATTTCCTCCTTTACTACGACCTGCCTCCACAAAACTACCTCTCACCAAATTTTCTCGAAGCTTTTTGTGAGCGTTAGGGAAGGTAGACACTTTTGATAAACCATGAGAAGTAAAAATTGCGAGCAGCCAACTACATGACGCGCGAGGCACGGGGCAGCAATCAAAAGAAATTTCTTCAAGCCAAAATATAGCCCTCTCTTCTCTCCATGGATCATATACGACCCTTCCCTCCATTATGTTTTACACAACGAATAGTGAGCCCTGAGAGGAAAGGCCTGGCACATACAGCCTGGTTTGTACGTCACTAGACTTGACTACAGCTTCCACTTTCTGTGCATCAACTCCTCAGAGTCTCTATGGGTATACACGAGAATTCGACACCGTTTTGCTTACAGCGCGCCGACCAGCCCTTTTATTGAAGGACTCCTTTCCACTGCTTTTTGCGGCAAGACTCTCCATAGATGCTCGCTAGGGTTGAGGTGCAGATTTTCATTCGGTCCCTTTATCACCGGGTTCATAACTCCTGAGAACCAGATTTGGTACAATTAGGATTGGCGGAGGCACCAAGCGAAATTCTGTTAAGCTCGCAGAGGCCACCTTGCGAAAACCCGTAAATTCTTGCAACCGTAACCAGCGAAAGTGCAGAATGCCCTCCTGAGCCAAGCAGCGCCCCGAACTCTGCTCCTCGCGTACTTCTATGCCTGCTTCGACTTACTGACGACTGAAAAATTTTCCTGGCATGCTTCATCTTCAGAAACAAATTTCTGTGCCTATGCTAAAGAAAATCAGCTAATGAGCCGAGATAAAAAAGAAATTTCGTGGCGTATCTCAGTTTTTTTTTCGCTTCTGCATGCGCTCCACGCCTTTTTCAAGTACTAGACCTGTATGGGTTCTTCAAGTTTGTCAGTTGATAGTAGTAGTTAATCTAGAGGGATATAACCATCAAGGCACGGCGAGGTTTCGTCACTCTCTGCGTCATGCCCACGGAAATCGATTAGTACATGCGAGTGCACTTAAAGCTATTTATTATTAATGAAGGCATTTCTAATGACAACAGATCGACTGGATTACAACGAGACAGGGTTTAATGGGAGGATTCTATGATGGTCCACCAAAATGTTGCGAAAACCAGCGCTAGTAAACTTGGAGGGGCATTTGCGGGAGTCCTCGCCCTATTGGATGAAAATGAAGACCAGACGAGAGTAACCGT